GCTGCCCAAAGTCTAATGAGAAAGGAGAAGGTTCACCTTCCTTCCTTTAATTAGCATTTGCTGTCTAATTTCTGAAGGAGTTAAATCCAATTGGTTTCTATTAAAAGATGTTCCTAAACATTTTAGAGGGATCTTGAGGACTTAACCCTCAGCCCTGAGGTTGCTATAGAAGAAAACAGAGTTTGGGTGTCAGCAATCTTGTTTTGCATTAAAACCTATAAAAAGAAACTACTAAGTTCTCTCATCATGGTCAATAGTTGACTTGCATCGAAAGCTGGGACATTTGTTTGCTGCAAAGTGTTGGATTACAGCCACTGATTTAAGGGCCCCAGTATATAACAGATTGTGGGGAGGCAGCTCCTTGATGTCATTGTCTTCAGCAGCAGTAGCATTAAACCCAGACTTTTTCACTGTGCTATATTGTCGATTTGACACAGTGACCGGATTGTCAGCATCAGTCATCTGACATTAAGTTCTATGGTCAGAAGTCAGAGCTTTTAATTCTGCAGTTCAGAGAAAAGGGGGAAGGGAAGTATCAACCTTCACTTAGTTCTACTACTTATATGAAGAACAATTTATGTTCTCTGCCGTTAACGTCTCTTATTGACTTGGAAATGCTCCACTGCCTGTAAAGACTGTTTTGACACCGTCAAGAACCCAGACTAGATGCATTCTTTTCACATATTTAATCACGCTCTGCCTCCCTGCTGTTATCCAATAAGACCCCAGAAGTCTGTGATTTTTAGAATAGATTATTTTCCATTTCAGTTTCTACAATACGATCAGGGATGTAGGGGACAGACAAAAATGCATGGACCCCGCCATCTTAATGATAGGCAACAGCCCACAGAACAGCGCAATCTTAATATACGTTTTAGTTTCAAATTTTCCCCAGGGTTGGAGGAATAAGTATGTCTACTTGGAAAGAGGTTTTGAAGAAGGCCTGGAAAAGAGGATCAAAACTTGGCCTCCTGGAACTGAGATCACTTCATGCTAACAAAATAGTAGAGAAGAAAGCACAAGGCAAAGAAGTCAAAGTCTAGAGCGGGGCGGGCAATTATTCTGGGCAGAGGACTGCTTACTGAGTTCTGGCAAGCCGTTGAGGGTCGCATGATAGGCAGCCAGGGGCAGATAAATATTAATTTTCTAAATTTTTAGGGCCCCACAGGCCGGATAGAATGGCTTGGAGGGCCACATCCGGTCCCCAGGCCGCATTTTGCCCACCCCTGGTTTAGAGGCTGGAGTTGCTAGTAGAAAAAAGATCAAGTAAGGGGCACGGATCTAAGTTGCAGGATGTAAGACAAGATCCAAGTTGCAGGCACTACTGTAGATGCAGAGCCTGAATACCAGGCAAGGTGAAGTCTGGAAGATGATGACAAGACATGTAAACTGTTGGTGGTGGAAAATGAAGTGACCTGATCAATAATCAAGAGAAGGCATTTTAAAATAGCTCACTTTGGATGTACAGGAAGGGAACGATGCTGGCAACTAGAATAATGCGAAAGAACAGATGTAAAGCTTAAAAGACAGGATAGTTTGGGTTTCTGAAGTATGAAAAGAGCAGCAGCAGCAACTTGACAACTGACCTGTGTAAGAATGGAGAGAGAACTAGAGATGACCCTTAATAGCAAACTACAGAGGTTAAAGCCCTGCCTTCAGTGAAGAACACCCAACTGAATCTTAGAGAGGTGCTGCCCAAAATAGAATAGGAGCTTATAAAAAGTAAGTAATTAAAATATTCCATTCTTTGAAATCTACATGAAACTGCAAAAATCACCATTACTCGACAAATCTATGACAAGGACAGCAGAATCTATCCGGTTGTCACCTACAGTCACCACCCCAAACACTTCAGTAATGACCTCCAACCCCTCCTTGGATAGCGA